GATTACTTTCTGAGGTCGCAGGATATTGGTGGTGCAACTGTCCTCTGCAACTTTTAGTATCATTGACCATAGCATCCAACTCCAGGAATTAGGAATGGGCAGCACGGTTTTGTGGTGGTTCTTCTCCTTTCTCTGTAGCCAGTTTCAGGCAATGTTGGTAGACAAAGAGAGTCCTTCCTTATATTGGTGACAGAAGCTGGCATGTATGCAGGTTGTAGTCAAATAAGTCAAGATGGCAGCCATGAAGGGTGTACTAAGTTCCACATATTCTTTTTTAGCCAATTTCAATGCACATAAAACTGAATGGGGGTTTAGTTGCACTAGCTACTATCTTCATTTTTCCCCCACCATATTCTATGGAGACCCTGGAAAGAAAGAAAATTGTGATGGTTAGAAGTGCCTTGCATCTGACTTTTAAGTTAAGATATATAAAACAACGTCGGGCTGGAAGGCTTTGAATGATGAATCTTACTATATAAATAGAGACATAATATCTAGAAGAGGGCAGCAAATGATGAAAAAAAATGGTTTTGGAAAATATATCATAGCTTCTCAGTTTGTTTAAACTTAACCCAAAGCCTAACTGATCTCCTAAAAACATCAGATACATTTCCCTGTTTATGTCCATCATGTTTACCTAAGCTAAACAAACTAAGTACCCTGTCTGACAGAGTTGAAAGCATAGAATCATTCATGCACTCAATAGAAGAATGCTTACTAACACGTTTTGAAATGGTCTGCACAATACCATGCAGGCTACTGCATTTTGCACCAACTGCAGCTTCCAGGTGCTCTTCAAGGGCAGCCCCATGTAGAGTGCATTGCAATAATCAAGACAGGAAGTGACTAGGGCAGGAGTGACTGTGAGTAGGGACCGTTAGTCCAGGAAAGGGTGTAACTGGTGCAAAACCCACAGTTGCGCAAAAGCCATCTTGGCCATGACCACCACCTGCTCTTCGAGCAGGAGTTGTGAGTCCAGGAAAACCCCTAGATTACACACAGAGTCTGTTTGAGGTAGTGCTACCCCATCCAAAGGTGGCAATTCTCCTTGAGCCAACGAATCCCAAACCCAGAGCCACTCAGTCTTGCAGGGGTTAAGTTTTAACCCATTGCTCCCCATCCAGCCCCTAATAGCCTCAAGGCATTGTGAAAGGGAGGACACAGCAACACTTAACTCACCATGGCTGAGACATACAGCCGAGTATCATCAGTATATTGGTAATACCTCAATCCATGGTGATGGATGATCTCACCCAGTGGCTTCATATAAATGTTGAACAGGAGCTGAGAGAATACTGAGCCCTACAGAACCCTGTAAAGCAGTGGGTAAAGGCTGGATCTCTCCCCTCCTATCAACACTGACTGAGAGCTGCCGCAGAGGAAGGAAGTGAACCAAGAACCACTCCCATTCCCCGAAGCCACCCCAGGAGAATCCCATGGTCAATGGTATCAAAAGCCATTAGCTAATATAATAATAATAGCTAATCTGTTAGTGCAAATTCAATTGAACTTATTCAGTTCAATTTATCCAGTGTTGCTTGATTCAGTGTTTCAGTTCTGAGTAGAACGGAAATCAAATGATCATCTCAATTTCTCAGAAGAAGAGAATATGTAGTTATTAATTAAACAGGTTCAGCATTGTTGCTCTTGTTAACAATATGATTTCCATTATATTAAATCCTTCTGGTCTTTATTCTCAGGAACAAGGATATCAAAAAGCCCTACAAAATATTATAAGGAAGAAATTATTATGCTGCAAGACAGAATTTCTTGGGAGATACTAAGAAAACTGAATAGTCTCACAAATGCACGGATTACAAGAAGAGGACTTGATTGTCTATTGAGGTTCTCAATCATCCAGGTCATAGTAGTCCCAAAGGTGCCTTTGGACTTTATTGAAGAAAGGAAAGCCAGTTGCCTTTTGAAAATCAACTTTGGGACAAGGGACTTCAAATCAGTAAAATGGTGGTCTTTATTCAGTCTCTATATGTGTCTGTAAAGCAAACATTACTTTATTTTGTATTCTATTTTCCCTCAACTATCAAGATTGTAAGGGCCCCTAGACTCCATGGTCAATCAGAATAGAGATGGAAGAAAGAGACCATGGAAGTCTTCTACTCCATCCCCCTGCTCAAGCAGGAGATCTATACCATTCCAAGCAAGTGATTGTCCAGTCTCTTCTTAAAAATTTCCAGCGATGAAGCACTCACAACTTCTGAAAGCTGTTCTACTAGTTAATTATCTTTACTGTTAGGAAGTTTATCCTTAATTCCAGGTTGCTTCCCTCCTTGATTAGTTTCCATCGATTGTTTCTTACATTGCCTTCTGGTGTTTTGGAAAATGAGTTGACCTCCTTTTCTTTGTGACTGCTCCTCAAATACTGGAATACTGCTATCATGTCTGCCCTAGTCCATCTTTTCTCTAGACTAGCCAAACCCAAATCCTACAACCATTCTTCATATGTTTTAGTCTCCAGGCCTTTGATCATCTTAGTTACTCTTCTCTGCACTTTTTTTTCAAAGTGTCAACATTTTTTTTTGTAACGTGATGACAAAAACTGGATGCAATATTTCAGACATGGCCTTTATAAAGTGGTACTACTTCAAGTGATTTGAGTTCTATATTTTTGTTTATACAATCAAACATTTTGGGTTTTTGGCTGCTGCTACACAATGCTGATTCATATTTAAATGATTGTCCACTAGGACTCCAAAGTCCCTCTCACAGTTATTGCTTTTGATCCAGGTATTACCTAGTCTGTACTTGCACATTGGGGATATTTTGCCCAGGTTTAAAACCTTGATTTTATCCACATTAAATATCATGTTGTTGGATAGGGGCCATTGTTCAACTCGGTCAAGATCTTTTTGGATTCTGAGCTTGTCTTAGCTATTCCTGCCAGCTTAATGTCATCTGCAAATTTGATGAGTTCTCCTATTCTCTCATCTGCTTATGAAGATATTGAAAAGTACTGGGCCTAAGATAGAACCTTGTGGTACCTCACTGCTTCCTTCCTTCCAAGTAGATGTTGAACTATTAATTACTACTTGTTGAGAATGGTTTGTCAGCCAGTTACAAATCCATCTGGTGGTGATGCTGTCTATCCCACATTTTTCTAGCTTACCCAAGAAGTAGATTGTGGTCTACTTTGTTGAATGCCTTGCTGAAGTCTAAAATATACTATGTCCACAGGATTTAGCTGGTGTATTAATTTAGTCACTTTGTTGAAGAATGAAACAATATTTGCTTGGCATGATCTGTTTTTAATATAGTCATTCTGGCTACTAGATATAACTTTATTTGTTTCTAAATGTTTACAGATATGCGTTTTGATTATATTTTCCAGTATCTTCCCAGATATTGATGTTAGGCTGCTTGGTCTGTTTTTTCTCCTTCGTTGAAAATGGGAATCACATCAGCTCTTTTTCAATACTCAGGTAATTTCCCGTTGATCTGGATTTTTTAAATATATAGTACAATGAACCCTATTGTAACTCCGTAACTCTCTTCAAAACTCTGGGATGTAATCCATTAGATCCTAGTTATATTCATTAAGATCAGACAGGTGTTTTCTAATCATTTTTTTGCTTAATGATATAATGCATATTTTTAAAAATACAGTTTCTAATTGAGATTATTCATGTCTTAATTTACTAAAACACATAGAAACTCTCTGCGCAATTTATTATGGTACTGTTGATTAGCTAAAAACCTTACAATACATCTGGGAGTAATTCCATACTTCCTGTTTAGGAACTCTTAGGGTAGCAATTCAGAACTACCTTCTGTCAGGTTTAAAAATTAAATACAGAAGAGCATGAAGCAGTTGGGAGGAAGAACAATACCTTCTTTTGCAGGTAACAATGAGATCATTTTAGGGGTAGATAAGCATATTTCTATAACCCAAACTGCAAGCTCATATTGTAGGAATAGTTTAGTTCACATAATAAAACTCCCTTCAGTGTAATGTAAACAAATCAGGAATTATTTAAAACTTAAATGAATTTGTAATATAATATAATTTGAGTTTGTTGTACCTATAATGTGATTGAGATTGCTCAAAGTTGAATCAAATTCAGGGCAGCTATTAAATAAAATCAAGTGCCTATAAATCACTTCAAAGAAGTTAAAAAATGATTTGGTACTTCTACTTTGTATCCCCTCATACATTTGGGACAATACTAAGCATATTTTTACTTTGCAAATTGAAAACAAAACAAAGAAAAAACCAAGAATCTTAAACATCACCTAGTGTCTTGCTCTGAAGAGGAAATCAGCCATGCCAACAAGACTCCTACCCAAAAAATGGAAGTAGTCAGAAATTGGTAAACTTTACAATTTTTAGTCTACTTTTTAAACTTTTTGATTTTTTTTTACTTCTAAAAGACAGAGGGAGGAAGGGAGGAAAGAAAGAAAGAAAGAAAGAAAGAAAGAAAGAAAGAAAGAAAGAAAGAAAGAAAGGAAGGAAGGAAGGAAGGAAGGAAGGAAGGAAGGAAGGAAGGAAGGAAGGAAGGAAGGAAGGAAGAAAGAAAGAAAGAAAGAAGAAAAACACTGATAAAATACCTCCATGTTGTTTTCAAGGAAATTTCATGGTTATGACTGAGAAGTTAAAGAAATCAAGTTTATCTTAAAATCAAATGGATAGATCCAGAATTCAGCATGTAAAGTATAGGTGACATGTCACTGTCTTTAAACAACAGTAGACATGAACTCCGTAACAACAAAATTCCAAACTATGCAAATTAGTGTACTAGTCACTGAGACGTTACATAAATCTTAAAGAGATATTTTTATTTTCACTTGTTTGAAATCCACATAAATATATTTGGCTGGAAAAGAATCTAGATACTGAAAGGCATAGGTCCTGGATTTGATACATGATGGATTTTGTTTGTGGCTTCATTAAAATGTTTACAATTTGCATAGAATTTACTTTGTTTTTTTCCCCCCTTTAAGCTACTTCACAACCACAACAAGGAGTAACTTATTTGGGATGAGACATGAAAATACAGAACCAAACTATTCTTTCAGAGTTCATCATCCTTGGCTTTCAAAACCTCCAGGAACTGCAATACTTGCTCTTCAGTGTATTTCTGACTATCTATTTATTCACAATGCTGTGGAATACTTCCATTATCACTATAGCAATTTTGGATCAGAATCTCAGAACCCCCATGTATTTTTTTCTGGGGAACCTGTCTTTCCTTGACATCTGTTACACCAGCACCACAATTCCACAGATGCTGAATCTTATCCTCAAAGACAGAAATAGCATTTCTTACACAGCCTGTGTTCTCCAATTGTACTTTTTCTTCTCCTTTGTAGGGACAGAATGCCTTCTTCTGGCAGTAATGGCTTTGGATCGCTATGTTGCTATTTGCAATCCTTTGCACTACTCATTATTTATGAGAAGATGGGTCTGCTTCCAACTAGCTATAGCTTGCTGGATTGGAGGTTTTCTTAACTCTGCAATACATACTTATTTTGCCTTTCAGTTACCTTTTTGTGGAGATAATTTCCTAGAGGCATTCTACTGTGATATTCCTCCACTGCTAAAGTTATCATGTGGAGACATCTCTCTCAACCAAAAGCTCTTGCTATCTATTGGTTTACTCATAGCATGGACACCACTTTTTTGCATCCTTCTCTCATATGCATCCATCATCTCCACAGTCCTGAAGATGCATTCTGCAGAAGGAAGACAAAAAGCTTTTTCCACCTGCTCCTCTCATCTTACAGTGGTTCTACTTTATTATGGCAGTTGCATTTTCACCTATTTGAGACCTGTTTCTTCCCAGTCTTCTGTTAATACCAAGTTGATCCCACTAATGTACAGCATCTTGACTCCATTACTAAACCCTGTTATATATACTTTGCGTAACAAGGATGTAAAGAATGCTTGGAGAAGTATAATGGGAAAGATTTAAATATTGTAACATTCAGGAAGAAGCATATAGGAAAAAAAGGGTTCCCCTTTTTTCAGACAATGTGGTCTTAAGCTGGGAAGGGCTTATAGGTATTTTAAAGATGATAATACGAGCTCATTGTATTATAATGATTGCATTATAAAATTGCATGGAATTTCTTATGTACTTATGTATTTTTAATGAAGTTAATAAATGGTCCACAGTACACTGATACAAGGTAAAATAGAAATAGATAAATTATAGTTGCTTAAGTAGACTGGCTTTTATTGTTGATGTTTTGTTTTGAAATTATACTTGGTAGATTTTAATCTGCTTTAAATTGCTAAAGCAGAGTTTACAGCTATTTGAACTATTTGTTCCATGAAAAAAAAAAAGAGAGAAAATGTACTACAAGGAGATAAAATATATTCACTCCCTTGAGTGACCCTTGTCTCGTGCTAATGACCTGGATATATAACATGAACTTGCCATTTTCTTTTTTCTAGCATTTGGCAAGCTCCCATTCTAAGATTCTTCTATGAAAGTGCTAACAACTCCTCACTATTTTTTCAGACTCAGATAAAGTCAGATAGATTTGCTACCTAACACCTTACTGTATTAGGTATCTAACTTTCAAGGTAAGGTTGATGTATACCTAATAAAAAGGTAACCATTAATTTCAGATAATCACTTCTCTGAAATAAATGTAAATCAGTGACTCAAGCAGTGTCAGTTATTAATGCTGGCAAAATGCATTAAAAAGAAAGTTCCGTAAAATTGGGTCCCCTAGTAGGTGAAGACCTAACCTTTTTAAGAAGGCAATAACGATGGGAATGAGGAAGGAAGAAAGAGGGAAAAGAGGACAACCAGCACTAAAGTAAATTATAGCAGTGAGAGTGAGCTTGAGAACAGAAAGGTTTTCCTAGGATCTTCTCTTGTTTAATGTATTGAGCCATAAAGAGATCAATGTCTGTTGGGCATCTTATATTTTGTGTTTGTGATCAAACTACAGAGTTGTATGATTTACCTGGAACTCGTCATCATTGGGAGAACTAGTTGTTCACATAGAAATGTCATGCTTTATCCATGTACTCTTTGTTTATGAATTAGTGCCATTACCTTGATACAAATTCCCAAAGGATGTGAAGAGCATAAAGATGTCTATAATATGTTAAAAAAAGTAAAGAAAAGATGCTTAAAGAAAAAAAATTGCTTGAGGAAGAAAAAAGAATTATGCAAATTCTACATTTTTTGCTCAAAAAAGGAAAGAAGATATGTAACACTTATTTCTTGAAGAAATATGGTTCAATCATATGTTATTTGTTGCAGAATATAGTACATGCTCAATCTTTGTTAATATCCTTTGTACGTTATAACAATCATTAATAATTTATTACATTGTAATTCTATCATATAGTTTAGACATAAAATTGTAAAAACAGACCTTGTTGAATGAATTTATTCTTCTATGCTTTCCAGGTGTGGAAGAAATCCATATATTGAATTAGTTTTTGAAAAGTGCTTAGTCATATATCTGTTCATGGCTATGGAATATTTTTACCATTATTAAAGTCATTCTTGATCAAAAGTTCAGAAACTATACTTCTTCTTTAGCATCCTATCTATCCTTGATATTTGATAACTATCTAATTACAAATTGGAGATTTATGTATCTATTTTGTCACTTGAATAGGAATTCAAGATTATTAGGTGGTTAATAGTTTGTGTCAGATGGTGCTTCATTCAAAATCCAAGAAAGAAATACTTAGACTCCATTAATTAGAGAAAATATATATTTTACTGGAAGTCAAGTCAACAAAAGAATTCTGAATCTGAGAAAATGAGTGCATAAATCACATATACAAAGTGATGGCAACGTTCCCACCCCCAATAGTTCAATTGGCACATTCAATTAAAAGTTGTGTATAGCATCATGTGGGCATCTCCAGGTGGTGATGAGGCCTCTGTCCATTGACCTTGACATATTTTGATAAAGAGTTGCAGCTGAACATAGCATAGGATAGAAGCCTAAGCAATAACCTCCCCTCCCCCCCAATTTATACAGTTTTGTTTTGTAACACCTCCAGCTCGCTTCTCATAACCATGTCCCCCCTCCTCCCCCTGATATGACAGCCAAAAAATGCAAAGTAAAGGAAGAAAATCTTGAAGGCTGACATTCGGCCCTCCTGCAAGAGAGGTGTTAGTCCTATAAAAGTTAAAAATAGAAGATAACAGAAAATATACATGTAACACTATAATACTATATTTTAGGGTTTATCAGGATATTTAGTATGAAATGCCTTGATAAGCTTAGGCACTCTAACATCCTTCTCATTCACCCACTCAGACTGGGAAGGAGGAAAATGTTTCCAAACAACCCAATATTGCAGTCGACCCCTTTGTTTTCGAGAATCCACAATTTCTTTAATTTCAAAATGTTGTTCAACTTCAATTAGCAATGGCACGGGGGGATCAACCTGAGTCAGCCTCAAGTCGAAGGTATATTCAGGTTTTAATAAACTAACATGGAAGACAGGTGGATCCGTTGGAGGGTTTTAGGTAATTTTAGTTGGACTGCCACAGGGTTCACAATTCGTTCAATTGGGAAAGGTCCAACATACTTAGGTCCAAGCTTTTTTGACTTTTGTGTGGTCTGCAAATATCTGGTGGATAAAAAGACCTTATTTATTTTATTTATTTATTTTTATTTATTTATTTGATTTGCCAATTGTTTACAAGAAAATAAGTATAAGTGTATACATAGTTGTAAATACATGAAATGGGTACATATAAGAAAAATAAAAGAAGAATAAGAGAAACAATAGGACAGGGACGGTAGGCACGTTGGTGCGCTTATGCACGCCCCTTACAGACCTCTTAGGAAAGGGGTGAGGTCAATAGTAGACAGTCTAAGGTTAAAGTTTTTGGGGTTTGGGGAAGAAACTACAGAGTCGGGTAGAGTATTCCAGACATTGACCACTCTATTGCTGAAGTCGTATTTCCTGCAATCAAGTTTGGTGCGGTTAACTTTGAGTTTGTAACTATTGTGTGCTCTTGTGTTGTTATGGTTGAAGCTGAAGTATTCATTGACAGGTAGGACATTGCAATGTATGATTTTGTATACCATGCTTAAATCAGACCGAAGACAGCGTAATTCAAGGTTTTCTAGTTCTAGAATTTCAAGTCTGGTGGCATAAGGTATTCTACAATGAGTAGAGGAGTGGAGAACTCTTCTTGTGAAATATTTCTGGAATTTCTCAATTGTGCTAATATCAGTTACGTAATGTGGGTTCCAGACTGATGAACTGTATTTGAGTATTGGTCTAGCAAATGTTTTGTATGCTCTGGTTAGTAGTGTGATATTACCAGAGAAAAAGCTACGTAGGATTAGGTTAACAACTCTTAATGCCTTTTTGGCTATGTAGTTGCAGTGGGCTCTAGCACTTAGATCATTAGAGGTGAGTATTCCAAGGTCCTTTACAGAGCTTGGGTCATCAACAAGATCTTGACTATTCAGCTTGTATTTTATTTTCTGATTTTTTTTGCCAATATGTAAGACAGAGCATTTATTTGTTGAGATTTGAAGTTGCCATTTGTTTGACCATTCTGATACATAGTCAAGATCTTTTTGTAGGGTAGCAGTATTGTCTGTGGTATTGAACAGCTTTACATCATCAGCGAAAAGAACGCAATTGCTCTTAATATGATCACAGAGGTCATTTATGTAGAGTATGAAGAGAGTTGGTCCTAGAACACTGCCTTGGGGGACACCACTATTGACAGGTACAGAATTTGATAGGACGCTCCCAATTTTGACCATTTGTTGTCTGTTTGCCAGGAATGCTTCTATCCAGTTATTCAGTTGTCCAGAGATACCATAGGATTTTATTTTTAGGAGTAGTTTGTCGTGTACCACTGAATCAAAGGCTTTACAGAAGTCTATGTAGATTGCGTCTATTGCTTTGCCCTGGTCGAGTTGTGTCGTCCATATGTTTTTGCAGTGTAAGAGTTGCAGATTACAGGATAGTTTTTTTCTGAAACCAAATTGTTTATTGGAGAGTAGGTTGTTTGTCTCTAAGTGGAGGATGATGGATTGGTTAATAATTGATTCCATGACTTTACAGGTGACGCAGCATAAGGAGATTGGCCTGTAATTTTCAACTAGGCTTGGGTCTCCCTTTTTGAAGATGGGGATGACTGTTACTTGTGACCATAGGTTAGGCAAGGAGCTGGTCCTGAAAGATTTTTCAAAGATTATGCTTAGAGGTTTGGCTATGGCAGTGGATAGCTTTTTTAAGAAGTAGGCACATATTCAATCCGGTCCAATAGATAGAGATGGTTTTAGATTGCGTAGTGCTTTTTCAGCATTGTCTTCTGTAAAAACAATATGTATTAGATCATTGTTGTTATCTGTGGTACGGCTAGGAAATACTGGGCATGATCCATTGCTGTTTACAAATACTGAGCCGAAGAATGTGTTAAAGATGTTGGCTTTAATGGTGTCGTCGTTGCAGTCTTTACCATCAGGTCCTATCAAGGGTGGGATGGACCTTGAGTCTTTTAGTTTGTTGTTTACAAAATTGTAAAAAGCACGGGTGGAATTGGTGCTTAGAAGGTTTTCCTCTTGTTTAATGTGATAATTGGTGCATTCGGTCTTTATCTGGTGGCATAAATTTTTGTATCGGCTTTTGAAATTGGCAACGTGACCAGATTTGTTTTTCTGCCAGAGTGATCTCTTTTTGGATTGAAGTTTCCTTATTGTTATGGGTAATCTGCTTTTTTGTTTTGTTTTGGGAGTTGTTGTTGGTACATATAGTTTGATGACTCTTTTGACTTCAAGTAAAAATATGTTGTAATGGTCTTCAACAGTATTGCATCCAGTGAATAGAGATTGCCAATCAAGGGATGAGAGATCGTTGTCTATAAGATCATAGTTGCCTTTTTTGAAGTTACAATTGGGGATTACATCATTGTGGTGATTTTTGTGTAGGCGTATGTTGAGACAAAAGTCAATCATATTGTGGTCACTGCTGGAAAAGGGTTCTTTAGTTTGTATTCCATAAATTAAATTCAAACTATTGCAGAAGATGAGATCGAGGCAGTTGTTTAGTCTAGTGTTGTTGGTTACTAGTTGTTCCAGTCCCAGATTTGTAATAGCATTGTAGAAGGTTGTGTGTATGATTGCAGTTGTACAATCATTTAGGGTCCAGTCAATATGAGGTAGATTGAAATCACCAAGAAAGATAAAAGGGTATGGGCAGGATGCAGCCCATGTTAGTAATGTATTTAGCTTGTTTACATGTTTGATTTCATAATCAGGTACTCTGTAACATAGTAAGAATCGAATTGTGATATTTTTGTCACCAACTTGATATGGTTTTTGTGGAGTTCCCCTTTTATTTGCAAATTTTTTTATAGGCTTGATGAGCATCATCTAATGCTTTACGAGTAACGGCCAGGTAAGCTGGAGCTGTGTTATCCATTCATCTAATGACTGAATGTTAGGTTTCTCCTGTGGAAGCTTGGGTATAGGTACAAAGTCTTGTCCTGAAGCCACTTAAAAAGGAATAAACCCAGTACTACTATGTACCAAATTGTTATATGCTACCTCAGCAAATGGCAGTAGGTCCACCCAATCATCTTGCTGATAATTTATATAACATCTAAGATACTGTTCCAATACTGAGTTATTTCTCTCACAGGCCCCATTGGTTTGTGGGTGGTGGGCAGAGCTTAAGCCCTGGGCGGAGCCCAATAACTTCAGGAACTCCTTCCAAAAGTTTGAGGTAAACTGGACAACCCTGTCTGTGTTCAGGAACCCCATGTAACCTGTAGACATGTAAAATAAACAGTTTAGCTAATGTTTTCGCAGATGGGATTTTCACACAAGGTATGAAATGTACCTGTTTGGAAAACAAATCTGTTACTACCCAAATAACTGTATTTCCCCCACTTTCAGGTAATTCCACTATAAAATCCATAGAGATTTCCTTCCACAGAGTAGTTGGTCTAGCCACATTTTATAGTAAGCCTGCTGGTTTACCAGGAAGCCGTTTGGCTGAGGCACAGATAGGACAGCTAGCCACATAGGTCTCAATGTCCTTTTTCAAGGTAGGCCACCTAAATTGCCTTATAATCAAGTATAAGGTCTTCACGAATCCAAAATGTCCAGCAGCTTTAGAGTCATGAGCTTGCTGTAATATTTGGTTTCTCAGCTTTGCTGGCACATATAATTTGGTCCCCACCCATGCCAATCCATCTCTAAGCGTACAGTTATTTGAGTGAGCAAGGAACCAATCATCAAGTTTTAGAGCTTCTTTTAATTGTGCAGTTTAATCATTTGATAAATCAACTTCTTTTTTTTCTGGGCTCAGGTAACCACTGGAGCCACCAACTGTTTGATTGGGACAATAGGCCGTACCACTCCTTGGCGAGCACTATTATATTGAGGTAATCTAGATAAAGCATCCGCCATGAAGTTCTTCCCCCCTGGAATATACTTCAATGAAAAATTAAAGCGTTTAAAGTACTGCGTCCAGCGAATTTCCTTGGGAGACAGTACTTTAAATGCTATTCTCAGATTCAGAATAATGTCAGATGGTGATCCATTCAAAATCCAAGAAAGAAATACTTAGACTCCATTAATTAGAGAAAAGATATATTTTACTGGAAGTCAAGCGGTAGCAGCAAAAAGACTTCTGAATCTGGGAAAATGAGTGCGTAAATCACATATACAAAGTGATGGCAATGTTCCCACCTCCAAGAGTTCAACTGGCTCATCCAATTAAAAGTTGTGTATAGCATCATGTGGGCATCTCCAGGTGGTGATGAGGCCTCTGTCCATTGATCTTGACGTATTTTGATAAAAAGTTACAGCTGCGCATAGCATAGGATAGAAGCCTAAGCAAGAACCTTACCCCCCAACTTATACAGTTTTGTTTTGTAACACCTCCCATAACCATGTCCCCCATCCTCCCCCTGTTACTTATGACAGCCGAAAGATGCAAAGCAAAGGAAGAAAATCTTGAAGACTGACAATTTGATCAAAGAACAAGTTTGGTGTAATGGTTAAGGCATCAGACTTGAAATCGGAGACTCTGATTTCTAGTCTAGCCTTGGACACAAAACCAACTGTGTGACCTTGGGATAGTTAGTTTCCTTCAGCCTTAGAAAAGAGGAAATGGCAAACCATGTAAGAAAAACCAGGAAACTGCATGGGCTTGTCCAGCTAATCTCCAAAAATCAGACATGATTTTTATTTAAGAAAAATGGTGATAAGTCAGCACTGAATGGAAGTCGAAGAGGTCTGATCCCTGTCTTTGCTTTGTGGAGACGGGTCAGTATTTTCTCCATTCCCATTTAACATCTAAATAAAACCATTGGAGAGATCATATGTCAATATGGAATGAGGTATCATAAATATGCTGTGGATATTCAGCTATAAATCTCTGCCCATAGTGAGCTAAATGATTCTGTGGCCACCCTCTCTTGGTGTCTGAAACCTGTTGAGGTCTGGATGGTGAATAATGGGCTAAAACTAAACCTTGGCAAGACAGAGAGGCTCTGGTCCTTGGTTCTTGGAAAATTATTACCTTTGGTCATGGAGAGGGTTGCACTGCCCCCAGACTTACCCATTGCATAATATTTATTTATTTATTTATTTATTTATTTATTTATTTATTTATTTATTTGATTTGTCAATTGCTTACAAGATAATAGGTATAAATATAAACATAGGTATGAATACATGAAATGGATACATATAAGAAAAATAAAAAAAATCAATAGGACAGGGACGGTAGGCACGTTGGTGCACTTATGCATGCCCCCTACAGACCTCTTAGAAAAGGGTCAATAGTAGACAGTCAAAGGTTAAAGTTTTTGGGGTTTGGGGAAAAAAACCACAGAGTCAGGTAGAGTATTCCAGACATTGACCACTCTGTTGCTGAAGTCATATTTCCTGCAATCAAGTTTGGTGCGATTAACCTTGAGTTTGTATTTATTGTGTGCTCTTGTATTGTTATGGTTGAAGCTGAAGTATTCATTGACAGGTAGGACATTGCAATGTATAATTTTATACACTATACTTAGATCAGACCGAAGACGGCATAGTTCTAGATTTTCTAGGTCTAGAATTTCAAGTCTGGTAGCATAAGGTATTCTGCAACGAGTACAGGAGTGGAGAACTCTTCTTGTGAAATATTTCTGGACTTTCTCAACTGTGTTAATATCAGATACGTAATGTGGGTTCCAGACTGATGAGCTGTATTCGAGTATTGGTCTAGCAAATGTTTTGTATGCTCTAGTTAGTAGTGTGATATTACCAGAGAAAAAGCTATGTAGGATTAGGTTTAGGTTAACAACTCTTAATTCCTTTTTGGCTATGTAGTTACAGTGGGCTCTAGCACTTAGATCATTAGAGATGAGTATTCCAAGGTCCTTGACGGAGTTTGGGTCATCAACAAGGTCTTGATTATTCAGCTTGTATTTTATTTTCTGATTTATTTATTTTTTGCCAATATGTAAGACAGAGCATTTATTTGTTGAGATTTGAAGTTGCCATTTGTTTGACCATTCTGAAACATAGTCGAGGTCTTTTTGAAGGGTAGCAATATTTGTCTGTGAGGTTGAATAGCTTTATATCATCAGTGAAGAGAATGCAGTTGCTCTTAATATGATCACAGAGGTCATTTATGTAGAGTATGAAGAGAGTTGGTCCTAGAACAGTGCCTTGGGGGACACCACTGTTGATAGGTACAGAATTTGATAAGACGCTCCCAATTTTGACCATTTGTTGTCTGTTTGACAGGAATGCTTCTCCTGGGTTTGAAGAACAAGTAGAAGTTTCACAACTTCATATTGTATGCCAATTTGCTGCTCTGTGAGTATAATAAAGATTGATTGGTTGATTGATTGGTTGGTTTATGAAATGACAGTTACATGCATCCCTGGACCAACATTTCCTTCTCATACCCTGATTAAGTACCTCCCATTTAGACTGTTGTAATGAGTTTTATGGGGCTGCTTTGAAGTTTCAGAATATAGTGGCCTGAACAGTTTTGTGAAAAAAAATTTGAAGGCCCTAAAATATGGTTTTGTTAGTGAATTAGGCAACCATGAATGGAGATTGAACTAATTAAATGGCTGGTTTGATTGTATTGTTACTGCCATAGCGAATGTGAGGGCTTTTTTGTGTGTGTGGGGGTTATATGCTGGATTGAAAAAATATTGTAAGCTACCTAATCAAACTCACACTAAATAAACATTTAATAAAATATTAGATAAAAAGTAACATTTGAAGTAAAAATAATGGTGTAAATGTTTCATAAGAAATTTCATCATAGAAAACTTTTTCTAGAGAAATGAAAAATGCTAGAAATGTTTTTGAGAAAAGAAAGAAAGAGAAATAAGGTAACATGGAATTTAGTATATTACTGAGGTAAAGATTTTATAAATGTTCTTATTTTTGTAAATATTTTTTTATTTTTAGACAAACATACACAAACAAAACATCAAAACATAAAGCCATCTTCCAATTACGTACATACAGTGTGTTGGTTGGTTACAATTTTTTGTGTGCATCTTCTCCATATTCCTCACTTACAATTGTTTGTATATATTCTCATATTGTCAATCAAGTATTTCTGAATACATTATTATCATTGTTAATCATTCATTTGACTATACTATTATTCCTTCATGTTATGTGAGATATTCCATATTTTTAAATTGGTTTATATTATAACAATTCATATTATCATCCTAAATCCATCCAATAATAATATATCTTTATATTATATTCTATATAATTCTATCCTCCTTATATTGTAAAATTCTACATATTTCATTACCATATTTTATTTTCTAACCATTGATAAAATAGATCCCAAATCTTATAAAATTGTTTATCTTGTTGTTCTCTGATTTCAAATGTCAATTTACTCATTTCAGCACATTCCATTATTTTCTTAATAACTTCCTCCTGCATTGGTATTTTCTCATTTTTCCAATTTTTAGCAAATACAATCCTAGCCACTGTTAATACATTTACAATCAAATATTTCAATTCCCTATTGTAAACTTCAGGTAAAATTCCCAATAAAAATATCTCTGGTTTCAAGTCTATGTGTTTCTTTGTCATTTTTTCCAACCATGTGTGGATTTTAGTCCAATATCTTTTGGCTTCTGCACACGTCCATCACATATGGTAATATGAGCCCAGTTTCTGATGACATTTCCAATATTTTTCAGATTTGTTCTTGAACATTCTTCTTGTTGGGGGTAAATGCCACCTGTAAAACATCTTATACAAATTTTCTTTATATGCTGTTGACATTGTCATTTTATAATTTTGAGACCACAATTTTTGCCATTTCTCTAAATCAATCCCATATCCAAAGTTCTTCCCCCAAGCTTCTTTAACTTGTTCTTCATCTAGCTTAATATCTAATAAATGTTCATATAATTTTTAATCACCTTTTCATCAGCACCTGTCAAAATCTTATCTAAGTCAGTCAGTTTATCATAAAAACCTTCTGTTTTAAAATATTTATCATATCTAGAGTGTATTTGCACATATGAAAACCAATTCATCTTTATACCTTGTTCTTCTAGTTCTTGCATAGATTTAAGTTCACCCTTTTCATTCAATATTTCACCATATCTAACTGTTTGTTCTTTTTATACGTTATTTGCAGCTTTGCTCTGCATTTGGAAGGCTTCCCACTGGGTGGTCGAATGCATCAAGAAAGACACCAGGCTGGTTCTATCTCGGGTGAGCTGCCCCGATCACGAGCTCGGGAAGCTCTTTTATTAAAAATACATAGTGATACGTCACAAGCGGTGAACTTTATCCAATCATCATGTTACATGAGTAGGAATGTTAGTGGACACATAGTAGCATCAAATCACAGTGTTAGATGGTCAGTTTAGAAGGTACAAAGTAGCAAATCAGCGCCTGCAGTTAGTAACCCATGGTGACGTGTTGCTTATTGATGTTCTTTGTTCCTGGTACATGTTTTCAGCCTACCTGAGGCCTGACATGTACCGAAACTGTTGAAGCTGATTTATTACTGCATCTCCTCTGTTTTAGTTTTCTTCGTCATTGCCCATGAAAAAACTTGTGCGAGCGCATGCATCAGGGTCTTCTGAGGGTATGACTTTGTACAGAGGTTCCTTTTCCCAGAGGGCATTAAGCTGTGCAATAGTGCGCTTTTCAGCTAACAAGGACAGACTATTGGATATAGTGCGAATAAAAATTGGTAACACACATGGAAGAATAACGCATCCTGCAGCAATCATACCTATGAGAGCTACTATGGCTTGTAATCCTGGTAGTTTTGGGAACCAGGAATTAAAAATATTTTTAAGATTAATACCTTGCCATACTTGATCAGGATTATAGGTTAATTGTCGCATCTCAGTTGTTAATTGTGCTACTACTTTGCCAACTTTATCAATTTGAAGACAACAATTCGTGAGATTGAACCTACCACATACCCCTCCTTCTTTGGCTAGTATGTAATCTAAAGCTAAGCAATTTTGGTAGACAGCTGTGCATAATTTGTCTGTAGCAGTCGCTAGAATGTTTAGAGCCTTATCTATTCGTTGGCCTGCTAAATCTAAAACAGCTTGTAAACGAATAATTATATTAATCATATATATGGGGGTTCTATACCCATAGGACCCATCTTGGGCACAAGTGGCCACGCCTTAGGTGTAGACGATTCTTTCTGATGTCCAGGTATCCCCTGTATATTCTGATTGACAGGGGAAGCCTCCAAAGGCATTATCAGTGTCTCTTTTCTTGCGGGATAATGTATCATATACAGGGATGCCTAGTTCTTGCTTAATGGAGATCGGTAGGAGGAAAAAGGAAGGTCTTATCCACCCCAATACACATGATCCTTGCCAATCTGCTGGAAGGGATGGATAGGCTAGGTTACCACAAATCTAATACATATTATTTGGGGCTGTCCAGTCTTGGGAAGATGTTGTGTAATTGAGATAAGGGAGGAGGGAGGTGTTGAATTTAGCAGGTGTGGTGGTAGCATTGTCAGGTGCTGTCCAAATCTGGTAGGAGTTATCCCATGTACCTAAGCAAAGGAGGTGTCCTACTGGAGTGGACCCATTTTGAGAAAAGCAGTTTCTACCAATTAAGTTGGTGGTAATTGTCCAGATAAGTGGATCAGAAACTGTTCTAGCTGTTATGTTTCCTATAGAAGACATGTTATTGAACAGTGATGGTGAGGCTTCTAAGGCTTGCCACGGCCATTGTTCCCCTGTGGTGGTTCCCCCACAGACAAAACAATTGGTTATTGCAAGTTGTTTTGCAATTTTTTCTGCCATATCCATGAACAAGTTTTTTGCAATAACACTGGTATCAGGGGCTTTATCTAATTTCCTTAAATTATTATATACTGACCAGCCCAACGATGTTTCCTTACCTTCATATATTATTTCGGTTTTTATGGTAATGTAAGTGTTTGGATCCGATCCTGTGCCATCAATCTCTATACCATAAGTATCCAAAGTAGGGTGTTGTCTGGAGATGGTGATTTCTACCTTATTGTCTGTGGTAGACCCTGATATTCGTTTGAAATGTGACAGATGATTGCAGCCTGAGTACCCTCCCCTGGTATAATCACAGACACAAGACCAACCTGAGCACTCGATGGAGCCTCCACAAGGGATCCATTGATTGGGGTTCCCTATGGCCCAGTTAATGGGTGTAAGACACAAATATTTATGATTGTGGGCGTACGTTGTTTTCCAGTCAACCGACCCACATGAATATCCCCCTGGTTTAGAACAAGCAACACAAACATCAAAGGTTAAAACAATTGGGTTAGTACCATCCTTGAGCACGGTGGTGTGGTTTAGGTAATAAAGTTTTCCCTCCCCCTCAGGATCAGATCTGCCAGAGGTTTTTGGAAGTCCCGCCCATAAGGTAACGTTGAGACGTACAGCCATCTTGGAATCGTAGCAAATGGTTTTTGAGTTCATTTTACATAGATGGTACATGGTCCCGTTTTTTTGGCAAGTTTTTCCGGTAGGAAGGCACTTCTGCGGTTGTTGTGTATGGTAGATGAGAGTTAGTTGAGTGAGGCCTGCTTGTGTGGTTTTGATCAGGCAGGGGGCGCAGCCATCTGATGCGCTGGTGGGGTTCTGCGATCTCTTAACCTGATGTAGAAAGGGAGGGCCTGAACATGAATGTCAGGCTGATTCGCGAATTGTCTGTGATGACGACGAGGTGAACGGGGTCTGAGGACTGTCCAGGAGTCATAAATGTTACGTATGGAATCATAGAGGCATTGACCGGAGCAATAATAGGTGGTGGCAGTAGGACGAAGTATGAGGAGTATAGTCCGAGGAGGGTGTTCAAAGGTGTTGATCTGGAAAGAAGCATTGCTGGAGATATGGAGCCATGGCTGAGGGAGTGTCGACCATCTGAGATAGGGGGGGGAAAATGTCCCCAGACGCAGTGCAGGTCAACAGGAGGGGGGTGCCTGGCGTGAAGTATGTCACTCGAGACGGAATGGAGACCTTGGAGGCATGTGCAGCAAGAAGGAGGAAGAGGGTCGGCAAGGTAATGGGACGAATCATGTTGATATGTCTGCAGGTGGCGATTTTTCTACCTTGGGGTGGTATGGTCTGACGTGTCGTCCAGGAACCCACAGGACATGATCTGGAAGCTGGATAGCTGCATAGCCGCGACCCCAGGTGAGGAGACCAGCAGGGCCCTTCCAAGTAGGGTCTGGCAGTTGGCGGTAGTATACCTGTTGTTTGGGAGAATCAGAGGAAGGGGGGGAGGAAAAATGTCGCTCCGCTGCCGTCATAGCAGGGGTGCCGGAGAGATTGAGGAAGTTGAGTTTATAAAGACAGAGATTAAGGGTGTCTTGCATCGCCGGGAGGCCAAGGTTTTTTTTCCCTTTGATCAAATGTCGTTCTAATGCTGTTTTTAGCATTAAGTTAGTTCTCTCTACCAGGGCTTGTCCCTGACTGTTATAAGGAATCCCAAATTTGTGGGTAATTTGCCACTTAGTGCAAAATTCTGACATAGAGGTGCTAGTGTATGCAGGACCATTATCTGTTTTTATTTCATTTGGGCATCCCAACGATGCAAAAGTGCGAATGCAATGGTTGATGACATGTTTTGAGGCTTCTCTTTGCGGGGTCGCCATTATAAACCCTGAATAAGTATCAATTGTGACATGCAGATACTTCCAGGGGGCAAACGGAGGAAACTGAGTAACGTCCATCTGCCATATTTCACAGGCTTTCAACCCGCAGGGATTTACCCCTAAGGGAATGGAATGGGCTTGTTGACTGAAGGTGGGACATTGCTGTCTAATGGCTGAGGCTTCGGCCATAGTAAGGTTGAAATGTTTCATGAGAGCTTTAGTGTTTTGATGGAAGTATGAATGGCTCTCCCAAGGAGTTAATGTGTGTGAGGTCATGATACCTGCAGCCGCTTGATCAGCCACATCATTGCCTTCCTGGAGGATTCCCGGGAAGGGTTGGTGGCTGCGAAAGTGTGCTACAAAGAGGAGGTGCTGACGCTGTGCAACAAGGTGTTGCAATGTAACAAAAAGAGAGAGAAGGTTTTTATCAATAGCGGGAGAGAGGTAAGAATCATGAATAGTAGAGACTATTTGGGTAACATATAGGCTGTCTAAGATCAAGTTGAGGAGTTCGTTAAAATTCTGGAGGACTAATATGGTTGCAGCAAGCTCAGCCCTTTGTGGGGATGTCTGCACAGGGGTGGTTTTAGTGTGCCACACCCCGTTTCTTTGCCAAGCGCATGCCCCTCGTTCCCTACTGCCATCAGCAAATATAGTCAAAGCATTGATCAAAGGTTCTTTGCTGATGGGAGAGGAGAAAGAGATGGGTATTGTCCGAATGATTTGAAAATGTGGATCAGCGGGCGGGTGGCAGGAAACTAGTCCAGGCCAGTCGGCTAAGGCAAACTGAATTTCCTGGGAGTTTTGGAATAGAGATTCCCATATTTGTAGCGAAAAAGGGATAAAAAGTGTGGAAACATCTATTCCCATAGGTAATTTTGCATGGCTCCTGCCTTTTATGATCAATTGAGCCAATTGAGCTGATTTGGAAGTGATGGAGCATCGTGGCGTATGGGAAAGATGGATCCACTCTATGATGTGGAGTTTTTGGTCCTTTTGAGTTACTGCTGCGGTCATAAGCCTCGGGGTGGCTAAAATGACCATATCTAGAGTAGTATTGGCAGCAGCTCTGTCTACCCATATTTTTCAGATATTCTCTTCTATTTGAGTTATTGCTTGAAGCTGAGGTTGCTGCAAGGATATTATGTCAGCAGGCTTTTTCCCCCAGGTAAGGGCTTCAAACAATGGAGAAAGAATATCAGTGGTTAAAGAGAGGAAAGGTTGAGCCCAGTTTACGGTACCCAGATATTGCTGAAGTTGGACCAGGGTGGGTTGAGAAGGTAGAGACAGAGAGGGAAGTGAAGGATAGGCAGTAGTTGAAAGCATTTTATAGCCCAGATATGCATACGGAGTTAGTACTTGTACCTTTTCAGGTGCTATATGCAAACCTCCTTTTGCAAGAATGGCTTTCAGGAAGGAAAATGAAGTAAACACCGTACCCGGTGGGCCAGGGGCGGCAACAAGGATATCGTCCATGTAGTGATACACCAGAAATTGTGGAAAGGCAGAACGATAGGGTAGCAGGACATTATTGACATAGTGTTGACACATGGTGGGGCTATTGAGCATACCTTGGGGTAGGACTTTCCACTGAAAGTGGGAGGAGGGGGAGGAGTTGCTTAAACGAGGTAGTGTAAAAGCAAATAAGGTGCGATCTTGTTATGCAAGGGGATAGAAAAGAAGCAGTCCTTTAAATCTATGACCATGAGATCAAATTTTTCAGGGATGATGTTGGGATTTGGAAGACCACATTATAATGCCCCCATAGGTTTTATTATTGCGTTAACGGCTCTTAGATCATGCAAGAGCCTGCATTTTCCTGACTTTTTCTTTATGACAAAAATGGGGGTGTTATATGGGCTGACAGATGGTTCAACATGCCCTTTGACAATTTGGTCCTGGACAAGTGATTGCAGGGCCTCTAGTTTGTCTATAGTGAGGGGCCATTGATCTACCCAAACAGGTTCTGTGGTTTTTAATTGTAGCCGCAGTGGAGTTCTAGCAAAAGATTCCATTAATCAATAATGAGTTTTGCATTAAGTTGAGACATAAGATCGCGGCCCCACAGGTTAGTATGTAGCGGAAGAACCAAGGGTTGGAGGTAGGCAGTGCGAGAAATATCAGAGGAACTCACCGGTAGCCAGTGTTTGCTACGGTGGGCGTGCTGAACTCCTCCCACTCCCCGAATAGCTGGGGCAGTTTCCAAAGGCCAATTGTCCAGCCACTCAGCCATTCGGATGACACTTACGTCAGCTCCAGTATCTAAGAGACCCGAAAAGACTTTGTCACGGATTGTGAATTGTAACACAGGCCTGGCATGTTCCACCGTTTGATGGACAGTAAATGCCCAAGCATCAGCCGTTTTAACAGGTACCGGAACAGCGGTTGCTACTAGTTCTCCCTTGCTAAATTTGGTGGGAGTATTTCCAATTACCGCCATGGCCACTGAGGAAAAGTCATCGGAATCTCTCAGAAACAGAGATGCAATGATTCCCTTTGCCATGAGGTCCCGGATGGGATAAATTATGAGGGGTGTCATGGCAGGAGGGATCGTTTTTAAGCATGTGGGAAGAAAGTACACAGTGCCTGGAATGTCTATTTCCATATCTTCGGAGGCAATTAGTTGAAAAGACATGGAGTCAGCCATTGGAGCGGGGCTGGCTGATCGCCCCTCTTCTAGTTTCCCTGCAGCTGAGGAATGTTGCTGCGACACTGGTTTGCCCAGTGGTACCCTTTCTTGCACCTTGGGCATATCGTTTTAGGCTTGGTGTTGTTTTGTGTATTGTCCCTGGCTCTACATTGTGCTTTGAAGTGGCCTGGCTTCCCACAATTGAAGCAGTTTCCAGCCAGCCTGTTTTGAGAACCTGCTTGCTGCAAGGCCATGGCCAGATGCTCCATATTGTAGGAGACAGTTCCCACGATTCTGCAAGCCTTTAGATAGTCCGAGAGGGAAGCCCCCCCTCGAGCAGATAGAGGTTGCAGAATCCTCTTGCAATCCTCATTTGCATTTTCAACGGCCAGTTTCAACAGAAGCTCTTTACGGGCTTCTTCATTCGAGATTTGTCTCTGAATGGCCTTCTGAAGTTCCTCTATGAATTCAGTATAAGGGTGATGTGAGCCTTGAGTGATTTTTGAAAAAGATCCTACGATGCCAGAGGTAGGATCATCGACTTTGTCAAGGGCTTTGACCGCTATGATACTGATAAGGGCAAGAGTACATTGTGGGAGAGCCATCTGAGCTGTTAAGTCCGTAAATCGGCCCGTACTGAAAATTTGATCCGCTCTCGCGGCCGCGCCATGATCGGGTGCAAATCTTTCAGCTTCGGCGCAAAAGTCTGACTCCCAAACAACATACTGCGGTCCCATCAGTACCATACGGAAAAGGTCTTTCCAATCTTGGGGTAACATAAAAAAGGAGGTGCTGATGGTGTTAATGAAGCCTCTGACATATGGTGCCTGGATGCCGTACATGGCCACGGCTTGTTTTAAATCTCTGATTAATTTCATGGGTAAAGGTTCAAGTCTAGGCATCACATTTCCGGCTCCATCCCCTATATATTCAACAGGACAGAGAGAGAGCTCCTCCAGGATAAGAGAGCCCTCCCTGCATCCCTGCACCATGGCTTGCGCGATCGCTCCCATGGGTGTCTGATCCTCCGCTGGATTTGAGTTAGGAGGACTCATGGGTTCAGGAGCAGTGGCGGAGGAAGCTTCTAACGGGAGAGCGTTCTTAGTCTTGGTTTCAGCTGTATAAGGAGGAGGACCCTCCTTTGGGGAGGGGGCTTTGGTCAGTGCTAAACTATGGATTTTTAAACATTCCATGACTATTCTCCATGTGGTCAGAATCTTTGGTGGAGCCCTGGGATTATTATGAAAATAGTCATCCAAACGTTGCCATGTGGAGACTTTCAAGGACCCTTTCTCCGGATAAGCCGGACATTGTGTGTAAATGTAAGTCAAAAGGGTAATAAGATCCTTCTTTGTTGGAACCGGGAGCATTTTGCCCTGATTCCTAAGAATAAGAATTAACGAATTGAGAATTTGTTAATTCTCCTAATTCCTGCAAATGTGCTATCTGTGCTTTGGAGAACTTTCCGCCCATACTCACCTGAAGGGAGGATGTCTTCTTTGCGGAAGATTCCTGGGGAGGGATCCATGACATGAGACGGCGTCCCTGGGTTGGAACTGGCTCGTCTGGCCGGGTGAGATAGGTGGTTGAAGACAGACGCACCCGTTTCTTTTAACGAATCATGTCGGGGTCACAAGATGCGGCTTTGCTCCGCATTTGGAAGGCTTCCCACTGGGTGGTCGAATGCATCAAGAAAGACACCAGGAGGAACTTCCGGTTTGTCGGCTTCGCGAGCAGCAGGGATTTGCGACTCTGCGCGATCCCTGCTGCGCTAGCCATTTTTGGTGCTCCGATCCGGACGGGTTCGGAGCTAGGCTACCCTGTAGGGGTAGCTGAAGATATGGGGGATCCGGGAAGGGGTTTGGGGGTGTTGCAGACCCCCTCCCCGGCCGGCAGAACCCCCTTTTCCCAAGACGGTGCAGCAGCGGTCTGAATGGCCGCCACAAAGAAGCTGGCAGCCGGGTAAGAATGCACAGGAGGAAGTGGAGAAAGCTTTTGAAAAGAGAAAGTTTTTCTTGGTTCCCGGGACTCTAAGATATACTTAACAAAACTCCTGGAAATTATGGCTTTCTGAATGATACCTTCTAGAAGAGAAAATAAGCGGCAGCTTGGTGGTGCTGAAAGGAAAGTTTACTCTCCTCTACGGATTTAATAAGTGGATATTAAGAAACCTATTTTTTTAAGGTAAAAACTGGCTTTAAGTGGTAAGTGAGAAGGGAGAGGACTAAAAAAAATATTTGTGTGCTAAGACTGTTGGAGGAGATGCCTTAAGGATTTGAAGACTGAAATATATTGCAATGAGACTTTAAGAAACAGATTTGTACTTTCTTTTTTTCTGATTGATACTACCCCAGGAAGAGAAAGTGAGAACTTTGCCTTGGCTTGGACTGATTGATAACTTTGGGACTGTTCTATTTTTTTTTTTTTTTTTTTTTTGAAATATCTTGGTTGTTGTAGGAAGAAAGAAGGGGAAAAGAAAAGAAAAGAAGATTTATAATGGCTTTTTCTGTTGAGGAACTGAGAAAAGAATATGAGCAAACAAAAAAAATGGTGGAGATGTTGTGAGGGAAGCCTTCCTTTTCTTAGAAATGGCGCTTGCTAACTATCAACAAACATTACAGCAGATGAAGACAGCAGAAGAAGAAGAAGGAGAGGAAGAAGCCATCTTTAATGAATTTCAGAATTTAACCAAGAAAGAAGGAAGAGGGAAAGGAAGAGAAATGAAGGACTTAAGATCTAAAAAAAACATTTAAGAAGGGGAAAAATAAGGTGCAAAATCAACATAATGATAGTAAACAAAAGGGAAAAGGAACACAACAGAGAAGGGAAGCCAGTAAGGCAGAGGCTAGAAGAAGGGGGGGTAGAAAGGTTTGGTGAGGGAAGAAAGGAAGGGAAATGGTAGAGAAAAGCTACAAATTAGGGATAAAAGGGTAAAGTAAATTAGGGATAAAGGGTAAAGTATGAAATTAGGGATAAAGGGTAAAGTATAAATTTTTTAAAAAAGGTTTTGCAAAGTACATAAGATGATATTGTAGTATTGTATTAGAAATAGAAAATTAAAATGGTTTAAGAGTTGATAAGAGATTAAAATGTTGAAATGTTTAGTAATGATTGATTTTAAATTTAATAATATTAAAGGGAAGGTTTAGAATATTGAGTTTTAATTAAAGAGTTTAATAAGATTATGATATTGATGTTATTATAAAATTTTTATTATAGCATTTGTTTTTGGAAAAGACAATGGGAATGTTATAAGATTCAACATTTAGATTTACTGTTTAACTATGTATTTAATTATTTTGGATTTACTATTTAGATAGAATGTACCAAGCAGAATCGGATTGGGTACTGGGTGTTATTTTAAATGTTAATTTGATTAATTTAGAGGGGAGACAGAAAGGCATCATACTCTGATTAGTGATTTCAGGAGAAATTTTCTTTTTTCTTTTTATTTTATTATAAGGGACAATAAAGAATGGACAAAAGATACAAATGTAATGATTCAAATTAAGATGGATTAATTAAGATAGAATTAAGAAGAGTGAAATGTGTGGAGAAGTTAATATAGAAGACTTAGAATGGTAGATAAAATAAGTAATGATATGTAAGATGAGCATGAATATAATTGAAGTTCATGAAGAGAGAGATATCTGGGGCCAAGTTACTTTCCTAAAATATTTTTTTTTGTTTTTCTTTTATGTTATATGTGTTGTGTGTTTATGTTTCTGGGAGAATTAGTGGAACCTTGCAGAAGTATAGAATGGGAATGATAGTGGTCAAGTCAGAAAGAAATAGATGAAACAATAATAATGAAACTGAATAAGAGTAAAGAGAGGTAAAGAGAAACTGAATAAGAGGTTTTTGTATGCTTATATGGAAATGGTTTAAAATAGAATTAAGGTTTTATCTGACTTGTTAAATTTATAATGGAAAAAGGTTTAAGTATGTAATGGTTAATGATGATTTGTTTGTTTTTGAAAAAATTAATAAAACTTGTTTTTTTAAAAAAAGAAAGAAAGAAAGACACCAGGCTGGTTCTATCTCAGGTGAGCTGCCCCGATCACGAGCTCGGGAAGCTCTTTTATTAAAACTACATAGTGATACGTCACAAGCGGTGAACTCTATCCAATCATCATGTTACATGAGTAGGAATGTTAGTGGACACATAGTAGCATCAAATCACAGTGTTAGATGGTCAGTTTAGAAGGTACAAAGTAGCAAATCAGCGCCTGCAGTTCAGTTAGTAACCCATGGTGACGTGTTGCTGATTGATGTTCTTTGTTCCTGGTACATGTTTTCAGCCTACGTGAGGCCTGACATGTACCGAAACTGTTGAAGCTGATTTATTACTGCAGTTATTGGATAAGAAAATGCTTCAATAGTCGATAACCAGACTGGAATTTTTAAATTGCATTGTCTTTTAGTCTTCTCCCAGTTTAATAACAAAGCCTCACGTATATAATGTCTTCTAAAATACCCCTGTGTTTTAATTCCCTTGTACCATAGGAAGGCATGCCAACCCAACAACAAATCATGTCCTATTAATGTCAATAATCTAGTATTTCTTAGTGTTATCCATTCCTTAACCCATATCAGGTTTGTTGTTTGATAATATAACTCCCAGTTAGGCAGGCCAAATCCTCCTCTTATTCTGGCATCTTGCCACAGTTTTAATTTTATTCTCACTTTCTTTCCCTGCCATATATACTTTAACACTATTTTATTTAGATCTTCAAAGTAATCTTTCCCTAGCCTAATTGGAATTGTCTGAAACAGATATAAAATTCTAGGTAATATATTCATCTTAATTGTTGATATTCTCCCTATTAGTGATAATTGTAAATTTTCCCATTTTGCCAAATCTGTTGCAATCTGTTGTTTCAGTTTAAGATAGTTATTCTCTTTAAGTGTACTACATCTTGCTGTCAAATGTATCCCCAAGTACTTAATTTTATTTGTGACCTGGATCTTCAAAACATCTGCCAGTTCTTCCTTTTGTCTTACTAATATATTCTTTGTCAAGATCTTCATTTTATCTTTATTTATTTTCAAACCAGCTACTTTTCCATATGCCTCTATCTTTTCTATCAATTTAAATGCTGTTTCTAATGGATCCTCTAAAATAAAAACCAGGTCATCTGCAAATGCTTGCAATTTAAATTCTTCCTTTTTAATTTTCATCCCTTTTATATCTTTTTCTTCTCTAATATTTCTAGTTAACACTTCCAAAGTTAACAGAAACAACAGAGGTGACAATGGGCAGCCTTGTCTTGTCCCTTTCCTTATATCAATACAGTCTGCCAATTCTCCCTCTATCATTACCTTTGCTGTTTGTTTATGATATATAGCTTCTATGGCTTGAGTAAATTTCTTACCAAAGCCCATCTGCTCCAGCTGTAATAACATGAATCACCAGTTCACATTGTCGAAGGCTTACTGTGCATCTAAAAATATCAAAGCCATTTGTTTTCAGGATGTGCTTCATAGTATTCCAAAGTGTCCAGAATTATTCTCATATTATCTTTAATTTGTCTCTTTGGCAGAAACCAATTTTGATCAGAATGAATAAAGTTATTCAAATATTTTTAAGTCTTTCTGCCAATATTGAAACAAAAATTTTATAGTCTGTGTTTAGCAAGGAAATAGGTCTATAATTCTTAATTTGTTGTGGGTCGGCATCCTCCTTTGGAAAAAGTGTGAAATATGCTTCTGAACACAAATTGGGTATCCTCTTCTTTAACATGACTTCGTTCATAACTTCTAACAATGGAAGATTCAATGATTCCTATAATGTCTTATAAAATTCTGCCAGAAGTCCATCCGAACCTGGAGCCTTTCCATTGTTTGTTTCTTAAGTGCCTCAGTTAACTCCATCATCGTTATATTACTTTCTAACATCATTTCAGTCTCTTTAGGTATCTGGGGTAGGTTGGCATTTTGCAAATATTGTTTAACTCTTTCATCATCTATATTCTCTTGTTCATACCATTTTCCATAGTAGTCTCGTATAATTTTTTTCTTCTCTCTGTTTCCATAGCAAACTTGACCTTGATCATCTATTAGTTGCATTATTTTTTCTTGATTCTCTCTCCTTTCTCAAATTATATGCTAACCATCTACCTGGTTTATTTGCGTCTTCGAAATAGTTCTGTTTTGCACCCCTAATTTTTTGTGCTAGTTCTTCTTTTTCCATTAATCCCATTTTGTGTTTAATTGTGTCCATTTTTAATTTAATGTCCTTTGATAATAAATTTTATAAATGTTCTAAAGATCTTCCCCACAGAGCAAATTTGTAATGAGGGGAGCAAGATAAAAAAAATGCTTTCTTCCCATCACTGCACATCTTCCTAGTTCCACATCTGATCTTTGCAATTAGAGCTGAAAGTTTGCTGAAAACACAAATTATATCCAATAACTGCAGTCCTTATAAAAGCTTTAAATTAATACAATGAAACAGATAGGACTATGATATATTCCTGTGAGAGAATCAGTTTAATGTAACATTAAGGCATCAAGATAGAAATGAGGAGACTATGAGTTCTAGTTCCATGTTAAGTACAAAGCCAGTTGGGTGACCTCTAGCAGTCATTCTCTTTCAACCCTTAAGAGGAGGCAAGGACAAACAACTTCTGAAATTTTGCCCCCTCCATTGGGATTTTTATTGCTTCGACCCCTTTAGCATGCATCTTTCTGTCATATAGTTATATCATTTCAGCTATTTTAAGTATGCATTCCTAAAAAGGAAGACAAAAAGCCTTCTCCACATGTTCCTCCCATCTCACACTGGTCCTTCTATAATATGGAAGTGCTTTTCTCACTTACTTGAGTTTAGATTCTAGTTATTCTTCAGATCAGGCTAATTTTATTTCAGTAGTATATTGTATCTTAACTCCACTTTTAAATCCTATCATATATACATTACGCAATAAAGATGTAAAAGATGCCTGGAAAAGTACAATTAAAGACGTTATGTTAGAAGATTTAGATAGATAATTTGATAACTTGTTTGATTCTGTTTTACATACTCGTCTGTCCACCTGAACATAATTCATGCTTCTTCTTTAACAGTTTTTTGCTGCTTTCTCCAAGGCCATCTCCACGGCTCCCTACAACTCTTTAAATAACTGGAAAACTTGTGTTGAATCTCAGAATAAAATTTGAGAGAAATGGAAATATGGACTTTCCTTGAATATCTTCATATTTAAATGGTTATCAAGGCACCATCGGGTGATACTATACCCTGTGTTTGTAATTGATAATTCACATGCAGTCATCCCTCACCAAATTAAATATACACAAATCTCTTCTAAAACTGGAGGGATTCTTTGGTTAACATGAATTGGCTTCATATCTTCAATGAAATTCTTAAATGACTAAGAATCAACTAAATATAAAATCTTAAGCAGCTTTATATTTCATAGGCTACAGTTTTCAATTATAAATTCCATTGGTATGTGCTAATAATGGAAAAATCAACAAGATGACAAGGAATGTTATGTGATCATATAACCAAGAAATAAAACTTTCAAACCTCAATTTCTGAAAACGTGTCTTGTTTCATTATCAATTTTGGGAGGGAATCCTCAATTTATGATGATGGAGATGTCTCTTCTATGCTAAGGTTAATAGATTATTTTATAATCTATTAATAATTTAATAATTAATCTAATTATTATAATAATAATTAGATAATATATATCTAATTATAATCTAATTATCTAAATCTAATTAATAATTTATGGCACACTGATCAATTTTCAGGAAGATGGTTTACAATATATTTAAAATGCAGTAAAGGAGATACTCAAAATATTTTCACTGGATGGATTTTTTACATCTACAGTAAAGTTCTGAATCAATAATTTTCTCCCATAAAACAAGGTTTCTAAGCATTGATTTGCTGCAGATTCTTGGGCTAAAGCAAGTCTCAGGAGAATCTGCTCTCATGTCTAAATGATTGCTAAAGCAGTCAGATGTTCCTCACTATAAGTAGCTTTCTCATTGACTCCTACCACTGTCACCACCCAAATGTGTAGAAATAAATTCTTTTTTGCATAGTTTCACAGAATGTTCTACTTTGTTTAACCTAGAGATTCAAATTAATTGTTCTTTAATGCTAGGTAACCCTAAGGAATTAAAAAGTTAATAGGCTTGGAAAATCTCAAGGGAAATTGTTTGAATACTTCAGAGAAAGTAAGAGTTTCTCCTTGTTAGATTTTCATTTTAATCTAGTTCTTTCTCTGAAACATATTTCAATTCCAGAACCTGGTGAAGATGCAGACTTGTACAATTATTTCTGTGCTGTTGTTCATAGATAGATAGGTATGTATGTATGTAGGTAGGTAGGTAGGTAGGTAGGTAGGTAGGTAGGTAGGTAGGAAGGTAGAAAGATAGACGACTTACAACTGCAGTTAGCATTCTAAATGGTTAGAACAAAAAGTAAGTGGAACTTAGAACTGCATATGGTTGTATGAACGAAAAGCCAATTACAGCCACAAATTAACAAAAAAATAAAAATAAATTAATGAACTCATGAAACTAATGAACTAATGAAAATGTTTGATTTATGCCATGTAATTTTATTTTCTAAAATAATGTTGAAAACTTTGAATTATAAATTTTTACCAAATCCTTAAGTATGGGATAACATTTTCAAAGAAAAACTGTAACTTATAGTTTACATTACTAAGCCAAATCCATATTATATAATTTTAAAGCATTCATTCAGCATATATCACCAGGATTCTTCAAATTAATCATTTTATTTTTAGTTGCAAGCACTAAGAAATTATTATTTTAAAAATATATATACCTGTTTTTCATCATACCTATGTATTTGCTAAGAGAAATAATGGCTAAGGAATTTGCTAAATGATGAGTGAATACAATTAGTTTAAATATTTTAATTATTTCCCTTTGGAAGTCTAAGAAAAAATCATTATAAGAAAGTCTAAGAAAACAGTCATTATAATTTCAAGATTCTAGAGAAAATATGAAGTATTAACATAATAAATTAGTCAAAGGCATGTTTATTGCCATACTTATTTTGTAACTGTAACTGCAGTAATGAGTAGCAACAGCAATAGCTCTATGACCCAGCTCTATGACTATTTTTTCTTATCTTGAGAAATTAGATTGATAATCTAAAGCCTCATACATCATCATAAAGAAAGGTTCTATTCCAAAGTTTTAAATTAATTCAACTGAGAATCTAAATTATATACAAGGGGCTTCTTGACACGTATTCTATAATACCCATCACTAACCATAAATTGTATGAGAAAGGAAGCATGCATATTAAATATCTTTCACATATAACCCATCAGGTACTTAATCTATAAACCTTTAAATTGCTTAGCCATATTTTATTTTTTTATTGATTGCCAATGGGAAGGTACTACATATTATTTAATGCTTAAAATACCTTTAATGATATAAAATCATAGGAAAATGCATGCATTTATGCAGAAAATAAGCCAAAGATACATTTGTCTTGGTACAAAAATGAAAAAAGAAACTTCTCTTTGCTGAGAAGTCAAATCTGTAAAGAATGAGGTTTAAATTATATTAAGCATGATTGGCAAATAGTGTTCTTGTTGACGTATCTGTATGAGTATTTATTCTGTATTATGATTCATTCATATTATGCTGGGTACTTGTATTAAAGTTTCTGGTTAGTTTTAGGCCTCTGATTACATACCAGAACAAAACTATATAATCCAGAGAGCGATTAAGATAAAAAGGGAAAATAATATTTCTTTGTCAGCTAAAGTATTGAAGATAAATCAATTTTTTTTATGATTATCATATAGGTGAAGCTTGGTGGGTGAAATGTGGACTCAGAATGAGACTTCAGTGAATGGATTCATTCTTCTAGGCTTTACCAGTCATCCCATATTACAGCCACTCCTTTTTATGATATTTTTCACTATGTCTCTTATCACTGTTCTTGGAAACAGCTTGATCATCTTCTTGGTCTGGATCAACTCCCGTCTCCACACAGTAATGTATCTTTTCATTGGTAACTTATCTTTGCTGGATATATTTTTCACACTGATCATTATCCCTCAAATGCTAGCCCACATGGCTTCTGAAACTAAGATGATCTCTTACAACAGATGCATGGCCCAAATGAACTTAACCCTCTCCTGTGGGATAACAGAATGTTTCATCTTAGCTCTTATGGCATATGACCGTTATGTGGCCATTTGCTGGCCACTGCGATATCCCATCATCATGAGAATGCCATTGTGTGTACAGATGGCTGGGATATGCTGGTTTGGAGGCTTTTTCAATGCTGCAGCACTTACAGTTTGCACAGTAAATTTTCCCTTCTGTGGACCTTATGAAATCAACCATTTCTTTTGTGAAGCACCAGCTGTGCTTCAACTAGCTTGCCTGGATACCTATATGATAAAGGTCTTAATCTTCGCTCTGAGTGTAATTGTCCTTATGCTGCCTCTTGGCTTTATAGTGCTCTCCTACCTCCATATTGCCAGGGTGGTTTTCAATATGAATTCAACTGAAGGGCAACAACGAGCTTTCTCTACTTGTGCCACACATCTCACCATTGTTGTGTTGTTCTACAGCACCATCTGCTTCACATACTTGCAGCCTCAATCTGATCTCTCTGCAGATCAAGAGAAGAAAGCTGCAGTCTTCTATTCTTTGGTCTCTCCTATGTTGAACCCTGTCATCTACAGCC